AATTTAAAAGGTCAAAAGGTAGCACAAATGCAGGCTGCTGTGACCCTTTCAATCTTGAAGAATTCTATGAGAGTTGTTGATGCAAGGAATTCTTCCTGTGCTATGGCTTTCAAAAGAAATAGTAACTTTTTGTTAATCTGGTTTCTTTACAGGTCAAAAGAGAACTGAAGAAATAGCTTTACCAAACAGCCAATGAGCAACAAGTAAAACAAGGAGAACCTCTAATTAAGTGTTAAGCAAATCAATGCACTAAAAGTAAAAGGAAAATATGAACCTATGATTACTCAAAGTACAACTGCGTTAGAACATAATGGAATGTGCATTAAAATTTCATTATACTGCAGCACAACTTTGGAACAACTGGCTTCTGTGCTAAGTATTCCACCAGCAACCTCTAAATGCATTGCACGTTATTGTACACTATTAAATCTCTCAAACCTACTGAAATACAAAAAGTATTTCTAACCTCCAAGTGTTCTTATGTATCCAGAATAATACAGCATTCTCTCCGTTGTCGTAGTCTTCCCTGCATCAATGTGGGCCATAATGCCAATGTTTCGGATTCTGCATAATGTGAAAACATTGCTTTTACTGCGGTCATTTTTTTTATTCAGTGATATTGTTACTTGTATAAACAATTAATATTCACTGAGAATAGCATAGCAGATGAATAACATTCTTCCTGTGTTGCATATCTGATACAGCGTACATTCTGGTACTGAAGTACGTTAGTATTGAAATGGTGGATTTTCTTCAGGTCAGTAGTACTCAAGAGTTTTGGAACAGGTTTCCATGCTTCACTTCAGGGGAAGGCCACTTCTTGGCCTCATCCTCACCCATCTGCCCTCCCCACAGACAGAAGCAGCCCCTCCACCCTCTCGTCCACCCCAATCCCTAACTCCTGGTGCCTGAAACAATCCATTGCATATATACCCTTTATGCCCCAAATATAACACCCAAGTTCCCACGAAGTTTTCTTGATTCTGTTCAGCCAAGTCTTCCACTCTGAAGTGCCTCGCCAGTAGCTTCCAAAACTGCTTCACTAGCTCTGCACATCACAGGCTTGCGATCAGCTCCCATTTCACCATTAATGCTAGCTGAATTTGCCCTCAGGACAGAAGCAGTCTTCCAAGGGAACTTAACCCTGAAGCCGTTTCTTAGCACCTGAGCCCCTAATTACCTTGCCCTCCTTACTAAGGCCCTCACTTAACACCGCTGAGTACTCCCACTAACACAAAGTATACAGCCCTGCCCACAGCAGTGGTCTAGCTGCCAAGACATCCCTTCCACCTTGTTCAGCTCCCAGAAACCACCACGGATTCAGAGCTTCCCAAAGTGTCCAGTTTTGGTTCTGATGATGTAAACAAGAGACAGTCCAAGACCTCTCCAACACCAACAACCATTCTATATTGAAATGTCAGAAGGGTAAAAGTAAAGTAAAAGTACTAACTTTAATTTAGAACATGCACATGAACTATACATGTGATGGGCATAGCAACAACCCATGACTTTTTATCACATCAATTGCTCTGACTGCTAGTTGCATCTGAAAAATAAGCTAGCATGACATACCTGGATATATGAGGATTAATGACAGAACGCAGAGACTTAACATCCCCTGGAGACAAACAAAACAAAACAACAATTTGTAAGACTGATCCCAATGTAGAAATGATGGATTTTAACAAAATTAAATATATTTAAGAAAACTCCTAAAAAACTTATGAAAAAAAGATTCAGAGCCACAACCCATGACAATCTGTAATCTCCACCACTTCAAATTTCTAAAGATATGTACTTAATTGTCAGTAAATCTCTCTCTCAAAAAAGAGAAACTCTTCAAAACGGCTGTAATTTAGAAACAATAGGAAAAAGTCAACACAGAAAAGTATCATCAGCACAGTAAAATCTTACTTTGCAGAAGCAATAACAAAACATGCCACAGTTCAGGACAACTGTAATGCTGACATTCATCTGAACTGGCTATTAGATAACAAATTTCAAAAGTCATTTTTCCTTTAAATGCTGAAGCTAGACAGCATAATTCTCAGGGAGAAAACATAAACTAACCTAGGTTAAGAAAACATGGGACTGAGGAGTTTTAAACACGTATTTTCTTGAAAGATATTTCCTCTCTCACACCCTATTTAGTTGGAAAATAAGCTACCAAGCCAAATTTTTATAGAACTAATCCATAATTCAGTTACTTAAGCTATTTAAGTTGCGTTTCAGGAACTCACTTTCCTAGCACTTTAGTTTATCTTTCATAGGCCAAACAGAATTCAACAATATTTAAATTAACATTCCTTCACCATCTACAGATCATCCCTCTTACCAGAGAGACATTAAAGAGGCATCTTATAGGTTAACATCCTGATGAGAAGACTGATCTTAGGAGAAGCAAGGGAGCAGGCTGGAAATTCACCAAGACCCACACGACCACCCCTCCCCTCCCCCAAATAAACACTCCAATCAACACTGCCTTTTTCCCTCCAGTTTCTAAAATAACCCACGAAATAACACATTGATAAGTTTGAGATCTCTTGCTTGTCTAAGTCACGGTATCTTCCTGTGTATGGAATAAAGCTGTGCCTCCATGTGACACACTCAAGTATTCAGCACAGAAAAAACAGGGATAAATACAGTAGACAGCAAGGACATTGCATAGACAACTACATAGAAACAGTAATACGTAGCAACAGAGATTGTGCTGACATTAGCAATTAAGAGTAAGTCGTCTTCTCATGTAGATGACTGCAGGTTAAAGACTTTTGTGAAGATACACAGTGATGAATCCGTTAACAATTTTTTTTTTAAAAAGAAGTTGGTTACCCACCAGCTGCCAATATTTTTTTCCCGTCTCCATCCTGATGTAGAAAAAGCGTCCCTGACTGCCAACACTACCTTATATCAGTCGGTTTCCATTCAATCTCAGTGTAGCTACTCAAAAAACCAGCAAAAATTGCCTTTAACTGAAATTTTGTTTTCTATGCATCTTATTCTTTTTACTCTCTTTTATCCTGAGTCTACAAAGAAAATAAACTAATGATAACTTAAAACTTCTATTTAATCAGATTCCTGTCTTTCCCCCCTTGTCCAACATGGTGGCTATCATCAGTTAGTTGATAACCAGTGAATACTTCAGGCAACTGGACAGAGGTTCCAGCACACTTCACAACTGATCTGACTCCTTATAGATCTGTAACTTTCCTTTTTCTTATTTTCTAAAGGCTTTATACAATACACTTACTGAGAAAAGAGCAGCAATACAAAACACTTCTTTTCAGTCCTTGAACCTTTTAACTGCGCTGTTAAAGCTCTGTGCGCTTCATACACCAAATTCTATAAATAATGACCAAAAGAATACAATAAAACACAACTTAGAAAGCATTCTTACTCATTTTTAGAGTAATCCTTACTACTAAGAGAATAATTTAATCTTATACCTGGTGGAGAACTGTAGTTTCTGAGACTGCAGTTTTGCTCTGTCACACTTATGACTCTCATTTTTGTCTTCCTGAAATACACATGCTAAAAAGGAAAAAAAAAAGCCTCATATGGAATATTAATCATTATAAGCAATCACTTTGTAGCTACATTTTTGCCAGTTCTAGAAAACTAAACTAAAAAAATATCTAGAGGAACTGATACTGTTGTTAGGTATTTATATAAGCTCAAAATACCAGCTATGTGGAAGCAGAAGCATGAAGATGGTAGCACCGAGGTTTAAACCAAGTCCAATCCCAATATTATTTGGGAAGCCCATTAAAAATTCATGATAGCATCAAAACATGTTGGCTGTAGCCACAGTATTTTAAATACTTCTAATTATTTGTGTAAATAATATAAATTTAACAATGACAAGTGTTAGGTAATCAAAATCACTGATAACTAAAAAAGTTTACAGAAAAACTACAAATTCAACTTCCACATTCTGACTTATGTGAAGTCCAATTCCAACATGAAATTACGCGTTCCGTTTGGATACCATTTTTTAAAGGAAAGACAAAAAAAAAAAAAAAAAGGTTTGCTGGAGTAACCGGAGTATTTCTTTTGCTCACAGAGGAAGTATCAAAATTTGGGAAGAAGTTTACCTCATTGCACAAACTCGATGACTTCAGTGCGTTCACTGAAAATTTCCTCGTAATTCTTAACATTGTAGCTCCCATCTCTAAAACTGTTCCCTGCCAAGATAAGTAAACCAAACATTTATGACAGGAAATGGGTAACGATATGACTTGCGCGCAAATCAATCATGAAACTTAACTGCTTTTCAAGTTAGGTCAAGTTACGATTTTCCAGGTTACTGCTTTGCAGGTTAAATCGGTGTCAGATCTGTAAAAGTAATGCTATTAAGCCTTAAAAATGCAGCATAACTGCATGCCCGCAAACACTAAATAGATTTCTCAAAGAAATTTGCAAATCGCAAAGCAGAAAAATTAACATCAGAGCTCACACTCACGCTCAGGTAAGCTCTAGAGTGCCGACTACTGACCAGTGAAGCACAAATAACTCTCCTGATTTTGAAGGAGGAAAGGGCGCAGGAAGAGCATGTATTTGGGACAGAAATAACAGAACGCGTTAAACACGACGAGTTGTTCAGCATCACCAAAACCACTGCGACACAAAGCCCAAGGGCAGAGGCTCCAGAAGCATTGCTAGCTGGCTGCTGCTTATTTAAGGCGACAGCAATATCCCGCTCCGGCGGTTCGGCGCTTCGGGGTAGGGTTTCCCCGTGAAGGGAAGGAGGCTTGCCTGCCGGCCCGCTCCCACCGCCTCGTCTCAGGAGCCACAGGCCCGTCTCCCAGAGCCGCCGCTGCCCTTCGCGGAGCAGGACGGCGGCGGTGCCCTCAGGCTGTCCCGTTAGAAGCCGCCCAGCCGGGCCCACACCGCCGCTGCCCTCCCTGCCGTGTTACGCACCGCTGGCACGCTACCCCGCCGGCCCCCGCCTTAGCCCCTCTCTCTCCAGAGGAAGAGCTCTAACAAGGCCAAGCCTGGGCATGCGGGCCGGCCGCGGCCCCGGCCCCCGCCGGGACAGCCGCCATTCCACCGGAAGGCGCGTTCGCGCTTCCTCTCCCCGCCGGCCCCATCACCTCACCGCCCCGGGTTCCGCCCCGCGTTCCGCCCCGACGGACCCAGGCGGCAAAAAGCGCTGCTCCGGCCTCACCCCGCTCCGCGTCCCCTTCCCGGCCCCGCCAAGGCGGGCGAGCAGCTTTTCGGGGGACGCGGAC